GCGCGCGCGCGTGTGTGTGTGTGTGCGTGTGTTTAAAACTACCCAGTGGTGTCCAGTGTTGTGTGGATCCCAGTGATCCAGAGTCAAAGGTCAGAGGAGACCTATCCTCTCCTAGCCACCGTAGTGATTTCATCACAGTAGCAACATTACCACTGCTTGACTTGAGTTGACCACAGCTCCACCACCTTGCAGCATGCTCTCTAACCTCTCTCCTACTGACTCCTAACCTCAGCTTCAATACTCCATTTGTGAATCATTTCACACTCTTTCCTCCTTGCCTTGTGTTGAGGGCAACGAAGGAGAGCTAAGTTTAGCACTTTGACATTCTCCTCCTCCTGAGTCGTTTAGCATGAAGCAGGGAGAGAATGGTGACCGACTGCTCAAGGAAGAGTATTGAGATGAAGGCCTTTAAACATAACTCTGCTCTCTTATGTTTAATTTCCCCTCCTGTCCTCGCCCCATTCATTTAACCTCACCACCTGCATGCTCTCCACATTTGGCTCTTTTCACTGAATAACACACTTTAGGTTCATTCGTGTTTATACTGGATCCTGTTAGTGTAAAGCTAAAGAATGGGAGCCTTTCCACAACATCCCAGTCTGACTAATACTACTAATAATAACGTCATTACAGCACAAAAAGCCTATTCAACCATTTGAAACTGCAAAGTTTTTCAAGGAAATGCAGTTTAAAAATAACCACATTGTACTCTAATAATGTTGTAAACACATTGGGCTCCACACAAAACCAAATCCATGTGTCTTTTTCTATTTCCCTAACTTTTGCACCCTTCCACCCAACCACATTTGTCACTGCAGGACCCAGCACTACCTGCCAAGAAGACTCCTGCTCAAATCAGGGAGTTTGTTTGCAGCAGTGGGAGGGCTTCACCTGTGACTGCAGCATGACTTCATACGCTGGGCCACTGTGCAACGATGGTGAGTCTTTGCTTTTATGGTCTTTCCCAGGCCCAGGGGGGATTACAGTTTTTTTTTGGTGTTGCAGACAGCTCAAGTGTAGAGTTTGTTATCTGCTGTATTCAAAGTAGATACCAACTTGAAAAACGTTATCTACCAGCATTTGGATCATGCTGGTTTCATCATGCATTTGCCTTTTGTTAGCAGGTTTGTTATCTGATTTAACCGAGTTAGGTGAATCACAGCGGCTGACTCTCTAAACTGCAAGAAATAAACCTAATCAAATCTTCACTGTGGTGCAGAACTGCAGATGTGAAAATGCTGCAGTCGAATGATTTGCTTTGAAACACCAAATCACAGCATCATCTTGTGCCTTTTTTCTCAGCCTCCACAGGAGGGCACTGTCAACTGTTGATTTTGATATTGTAAAAAAATACCAATCCCTCAACTGGCTGTTCTATAGCGTGTCTATGTGTAACATTAGATTAAAAATGTCTCCATGCTCTCTAGCTTTAAACATTAATTCATCCTCCAGAACCTTAGAAGAGAGATATATGTTGGTTTTTAAGTCACCCTATGAGTCAAACAATTATATGATTTGTTATTTGGTTGAGTCACTTATACAGTCAGCCTCCTGCAGTAATGGTGATAAGTAATTTGGGAAACAGCCTGGAGAAGGACTTGTCAGAATAGAAAAGGCCAGTCAGCTGTGACATTTTAAGTTTTTTGTTATTATTTTCCAATATGCTCCTTGTGTTTAAAAGATTTACCAAAACATAGATTTACCAGCTGGAGTGGTCGAACTGTGATGGCAGATAACACCATCACAACACACAGATTTACCTGTAATTACATTTTTTTATCTGTGTCGACCAGCTGGAACCACTTATATCTTTGCCCGTGATGGAGGCTTGGTGATTTACACATGGCCCCCTAATGAGCGTCCCAGCACCAGGGCTGACCGGCTTGCCCTCGGGTTCAGCACTCAACAGAAACATGCCATTCTGCTTCGGGTGGACAGCGCATCCGGCCTGGGAGACTACCTTCAGCTGCAGATAGTAAGTACAACAATTTGTCAAGGTTTATGTGATTTATCATTCTCATGTAGTATTTCTTGTTTGTATTCATTTAGTCAGCTATTGCTACAGTAACCACACTTGTAATTAGAACTGTGTGCATTCAATATCTATTAACAGTATTCACTCTTCATCATAATACGATGGTCCACCACTCCAAATGACACATGTAATTATGGCAAAACCTTTACAGATTGTGTATTTTCCTTGTTTAAACCAAAAAGACTTGTTATGAATTCTCATAAGGAAATTATATCACACTATGAAAGAGTTGAACACGTTTATTCCTCCCTTCCAGTAACAGAAGCTATTTGTTTATTGATTCCGGGCTGCATAATTACATTAATTGATTTTTAGTGTAAAAATTAGTGATCATGCATAAAATGGACCTAATATACTAATTTCCAGCTCCTTATTTATATTATAGAAAGTTTCTATGAAGTACCTCAGTTCAGCCAACAATCTGGTAATGTTCTCTCTTTAAGTCAACTTTCTTCTGATTGGCTCTCTCACAAACAGAAGGTTTGGAGAGCCACCTGTCCGAGATGACTATATCAGGGATATCCCCCATAAAAGTAGAAACAACTGTCTTTAGCTGAGCAGTATGAAGCTTTAGCTTTGGGATCATGAGGATTCCTTGTTCATAGCCTGACTTCATTATTTGAAACTTAAGCCATGTTTATGACCGTGAACTATTGTAGCAGTATGTATAGGACAGAAAATAAGACAAAGCACAACATGTTCTCTTAAAATGATAATTAAGTATAAATTAAGGCCAACAAAACTGCATTCAGCTGTGTATTTTACTGAGGGTCTTGGTGCCCTCAGTGATCAACCTTGTCCCAGCAAGCTCTCATAAACTTTCACTTGTACAGTCATAACAGGCACATGGACATTATTAAACATCCCAGCATTGGGTACTTGACAAGTGGTGAGCAATACCTCCTAAAATAAATTCTCACATTTATCTCTACAATGGTTGATAACACCTTCACAAGATTTCACATCCTCATAATCGAGCTTTTATTTGTTGCACGGTAAAATATCAGAAAATCGTGAAATATCACAGAGCAGTTTCAGTTTGAAGCATTTGTTTGCTCAAATAGGACTATGAAAATAGCACTGTTATGATCATTAAAATAAGCCATCAACGATTGCTATAGCTGTTATTTTATGTCATCATTGCTATAGTTTACAATATAAAACAACCTTATTTTGGCAGGAAACTGATGTCATCCTCGAGACCAAAGATCTCAAAGTCAGTTTACATTGAGGACCACATATGGCTCATGTCAATTTTAACTAGGCTTTATGTTAGTGTAAATAACTTTAATTACACATTTAAGCCCTGAGGTATCTTAATATAAAAAAAAGAGGTGCAACAGTATGTCTTAATCTTTCTACAGGATAAAGAAAATTAGCTGTAGTAAATGGAAGGATGTGTAGAATTACAGAAAAAGTTGGAAAGGTTTCGTTAATTTACAAAAAAGTTATCTTTTTTAACTCCTGACTCATTGTAAAAACAAACAAAAAAACAAAACATAAATTATTGTAGTCAATAGTTAAAAAAAACAGGAAATTTTCTGTCATTTAATTGTCAATCTGTTACTATAGTATAAATGTCTGTGGTCTTAATCATTAGGAAAAAGTGTGAAACTTATGAAAATACAGTTAAAAGTCCAAAATGTATATCCTCCTCCAAAACTGTCCACTGGGCCGGATTGGAGTTTTTCCCTGGCCATTATGTGTGACAATTCTGTCTAGACTATGACTGGAATGCGAAAGACTGATTCCTTTACTGATCCAAGATGAAGTTGGAAAACAGCATAACTTGTCACTAACCTGAGCAGATTTTGATCCAGGTTCAAAGGTCATCTACCCAAAGCCCAGCTCTATCTCAGCATTGATTAAATAGTTTTATCATTCTGAGTAAACAATTGAAGTTATTTGAATCAGTTGCAGCTGCTGGTTAAGCAGGCATGGGCCAAGTACTTAAATTCACCATACTTAAGACAGCGTTGGTTTTCATTATCCACCCCTTTGTTTGTCTGCTTTCAACTTTTGGTTTTTGGTGAAACTTATCAGGTCCTTTTACACCATTTAATACACAAATACGTGGTCACACACACTCTGCTGTGCATACCCAAAAGACATGAAACTGGTAATATCCTGACCTTTACACATCTGATAAAATGTTGTCATACCTCTCCTCCTCCTCAGGACAAAGGCAACATTAGAGTAGTGTTTAATGTCGGCACTGACGATATCAACATCGAGGAGAGCTCCAAGTTTGTCAACGACGGGAAGTACCACGTAATTCGGTTCACCCGCAGTGGTGGCAATGCGACCCTCCAGCTGGACGACCTGCCGGTCATAGAGCGTTATCCCTCAGGTAGGCCCTGCCCCGCACGTATAGGCCCAACCCTCTGACTCATCACACCACTGCCTGTCCTGGGGGCAGCGCCAGCTATACTTTATTCCAATTCAACTCACTTTCTAATCAGTGGTTTCTTTCAATGTTTATATTCAAACACTGAGGTTGAGACATATAATTGCAGCTTTGTTTTATGTTATTGTGTTTGAAATGAAATATGTGTGATCTGACATGAAACATGACTTTTTAAACCATAAAATGAGGTAGTTTTTACAATAGCTTGTATACTAGCCAGCTATGTTATGTTAGGCCTGTTAAATAGTGTTAAAGGTAATTTATGAAAATATTCAATACAGTTGTTTTTTCTCACCATAAAAGAAAATAATAACAGCTGGTGCATTTTTGGTCAAATAATAATTTAAAAACATGTCATATTTGGAGATAAATGTTTAACTAGAGTAAAAAATAAGAAAAAGAAAAAAGTGTATTTTGTTGAGTATAGTATTTGTTTTTATATTTGTTGGGTTTTATATTTAAAGTGGTAATCTTAGTTAGTAGTCTTTAACACAATGAGGCTTTAGGTAGCTCATAGCCAAAATGCTAAATGCTAGTTGTTGTGAGGTGTGTGTGAGTATGTAACACTAAACTCAGTCAGTCATATAGGCAGTATGTGACAGCTGTAACATTATTTCCCTGTGCTCTTGCAGATGTTAACCCCTGAAATGTCTCTTTAAATTAAACCCAATGAACAGAGAGTAAGAGTCCGCTCAGTGGAAACGTAGTGAATTCAGCTCTTCTTCTCTTCAAGCTGACCTTAACACAGTGACATGCCAACAATGAGCAGACCATTACTTTCTTTTCATTGCTGTTCTTTTTGTATCCAGCTCCTGTACCAAGTTTGGATGTGCGTAATTACTACTGTGTTTTCATCTCTAAATTAAAGGCAACATTGATAACGAGCGCCTGGCCATCGCCAGACAGCGAATCCCCTATCGGCTCGGTCGAGTAGTTGACGATTGGCTACTCGACAAAGGTAAAAACCCTGATTAAAATTCCTTAAAACTTTCAGCTTAAAAAATACAATTTGAAGACAGTTGACTTATTGTGCACCATCAACTAACATCTAAAAATCTAAATCCATAACTAAGTATTTAAAAGTTGGGCAGCTGTAGTGTGTAATACTGTGTAAACTGTAGTGCCTGTGAACGTATCTTGTTAGTGTGTATCTGATAATATCAGGTTAAAGGGACGATGGAGAGATTTAAATGTGAATAAATCAGAAAATAGAAAAGAAGTACTGATAAAAGATGCTTTATTAAATAATTTTGTTTCCTATCAAATTGTAAACGATAAAGCATTTTACTAAAGACTATATGTTGAAAAAAAATTTGTAATCAAATTAAAGTACATGCAAAGTATTGTGCCATGTAAGAATTATGTAAATTTGAAATGACTAATAGAGCAATTCTTTTTGAAAAAATGTAAAAGTTTTCCTCCTAAACTTCAGCAGAGCTCCTTAAATTAGACTCTAGTCCCTTTAACAGTGAGCAGTGCTAGAGCTTATAACCTGTGCATGCTTCATAGGGCTGTGACAACAGTTCTCTAGATCTCTGTCTCTCTGTCTGCCTGTCTGTCGCTCCTTCAAATACAATGTCGTGCCGCACAGCCATCACCATAGCAACCATCTGTCAGCCCCGTCTTCTCGGGGCCCTCTGACTCCTCTCATCTGCTCACTCTTCCTCCTCCTCCTGTTCTTTGCCTCTTCATCCTCCTCGTCAGCTTCTCAGTCTCTTCACCCCCTTCTCCTTCTCTGGTTCTCCGTTCTCACTCTTATCTCTCTCAGCCTCAGCCTTCTCCACGGTTCTCCACGGCTTCGATTTTGCTCTGCCATGCATAATCTATCCCATCCTCTCACCATGGCTTTGGGGTGGTGGATTGTGTAACACTTACTTTGTGTGTATGTACGCACGTATGTGACCACTGGAATGTGTGTGTGTGTGCGTGTGGCTGTATTTGCGTGCGCCTGTCCACCTTTTTTCTATGTGTGTTTGGTTGCGGGTGTTTGTGTGTGTCTGCGTAGGCCGCCAGTTGACCATCTTCAACAGCCAGACAACAGTGCGCGTTGGTGGAGGCGAGCGAGGTGCAGCCATGTTCCAGGGACAGCTGGCTGGCCTTTACTATAACGGCCTCCGCATCCTCAACATGGCCGCTGAGGGGCACCCCCACATCAAAGTGGAGGGGAGCGCGCGTCTTGTCGGCGATATGCCATCCTCCTCGATCACCCCGCAGTCTAGCGCTGCGGCCGGAGGCAACCGTTCAGACTCCGCCCCGTCCATCAGTGACATCACAACCACCACAGCCACTAACAGGAAGCAGGGTGGAACACCGCAGGTCAGAGCACCATCAAGCTTTTCTTTGTCACCTCATGCGAGGAAAACCTATTAAATCCAATCTGTGTGGTCACATAAAGATCTGCTGTTCCAATGTAATTCCTCAGATATCTTCCTTTCGTGTGGCAATAGGTAATTAAAAAGTGGTAATTTGCTTTGATAACTTTCTTTTAGCACTCAGTAAGAGGATTAGCATGCCGCAGCCCACTAATCAAGGATGGAAAGATATAACAGGAAAAGTGGAATTGTTTTATACTCCGCTCAGAGCTCCGCTCACTTTACTCATGGACCACGTTTCATATGCAGTGTTTCACATAATGATAAGAAGCACTGGAAAATACGTCAGATTTCTTCTACTTTTGACTGCTCAGTTCATTTCACCCTATCCCTAGCATCATCCCCTTTCACACCAACCCTCAGTATGTCCTCCTCCTCACTACATCTATTAATCTTCTCTGTGGTCATCTTCTTTTCCTCCTGCCTTTCAGTTCCATATTTAGCATGCTATTATCAGAGATGGCAAAAATACAGACGTTCTTTAATGTCTGTAAAAGGTAGAGCCTCTGAAAAGTAGCTCTTTGGACAACGTTTCTACAAGCTATTTTTGTGCAAAGCTAAGTGCTATATTAATATAATAATAAAATAATATTAGTACATGGGAATGCAGATTTTTTTCACTTTGCCTCCATACCCAAACAGAAAAATGTGTGCCGTCAGGGTTTAAACTGGAGCTCCAGGAGTCTTTCTTAATGTACAGGCTGTCATCAGCTGACCTGTGCTGCTGCTGCTGCTGTTGTGCTGAGGTTGACTGCTCTTTGTGGGTTTTCACAAATTAATTCAACATGATGTAAGCAGATATATTCAACAAGCTATCTTGACTGATTTCCATCCCCTACACTGACAGCATACTGTTTGTGCTGTCTTTATACAAGACAATATACAGTTAGATGGAGATTGAACTTCAGTGAATAATTCTAAGCATCATCAGCTAAAATTCAAATTAATCTCTGCTACCCTTTATGTAAGCTAACACTGACCAAGAACACCAAGCCACTGTGCTCCAGTCCAGCACAGTGCTTTACATTCACCACATTACAGTAAGCTAAACTTTTTATCCTACACTAAACAGCTGAGTATTTTCATATAACTTTGAATAATACAAAGTTAGATATACGTCAGTTTGTTTTGCAGAATGTTGAAGCTTGAAGCCTTTCAGGTTGTCAGATATCACTGATCTGTCCTTACCTTCAAATATAACCTCTTTTCTTTCTCTCCCATCCTGTCTTTCTCACATCTTTCTCCATCTCTGAGTGAAATACAGTAGCTGTACTGTTAGCTAGCAGACACGCTGTGTGACAAACTGCACACAAACATTTTGTGCGTTGGCTGATATTTGTTGAGCTGATAGAAATGTTGCGTTTGAAATGAATTGGCACTTAAAAAAAACAAAAAACAAATTTACTTCCTTTATCCTCCGTTTCCATAGTGCTAGCTAGAAGTACTGCAATCGCAATTTACAGACTAGTCTTACCAGATTAGTCTCACCAAGAATGCTGTTTCAGATCATTCTGGCCATTTAAACCCCTGAGTATAGACTATAAATGATGCATAAATTACTAAAAAATGCATCTATTTGTATGCAATAAGCCCTGATGATGGATACACCCGTAGGGTTATCTTTTTTGGGTTATTCCCTCCATTGTGACTCATATCATTTTGGTGTTTGAAGGTGTGCTCTGATGTGAGGTGATATCTTCTTTCAAATGTGTTAAATAAAAAGTAATGAGCCTATTTAAAAAAAATAGACTAGTAAAGTATAAATACCTGAAAATATTAAAGTATTTGTGCTTCATTACTTCCCTTCTGCCTGCTATATATTGTCCTGTTAGGGCGTGCATTACCCATCGTAGATTAAAACTAAAATTAACTAGAAGCACAAGGTGGACAATGATGACTCCTCAGGGGCTACTCAAAGGCAGATGAGAACTGAAAAAAAAATAGTTTTTTTCTCATGCATAGCAGTAATCTGACAGGGTGTATAGCACAAAAAAGTTTCCAGATAAAACTCAGATGGTAAATATAATAATTACAGCGTCAGCTCCTTAGGCCCCTTGGGCATTAGGATACTCCAGCATCAAAGTCTTTCACCTGACTTTTAAGGGAATCAAAGTCTGAACAAGTCTTATCATCTATAAGTCTGCTGCAGCCACAGACTGTATATAAAAGTTGGACATGGCCACTGTGATATCACCCTGGAGTTTCCCATTTTTAAACTTTGATTTGAGCATGTTGGCTATCCTTGGCACTGCAAGATATGCTATTCTGTAGTGCTATTTAACAGCAACAATTGCAAGGTAGATTAGACATAAAACGCCAAAACCCAGTCGAATCCTATGAGCAGCACTTGGCAATAGCAGGAAGGAAGAACTCCCTTTCAACAGGGAGAGACCTCGTGCAGAAACAGGCTCAGGAAGAGGCAGCCATCTGCCTCAGGAGTGAAAGGAGGGGATTGAAGAATTGTCTATTTAAATGAGTCTGTGTTATTGTCTTTTTACTCTAAATATGAGCCAATTTTTAAAAAAAAAACATGTTGTATTAAATAAAACCTTTGACAAGCAGTTTACAACATAAATTCATCAAATTTATGTTGTAAACTGCAAATTCATTTTTGTATGGGGTCTATGATTGCGGCTCATGGGATATATACAAAATTTATTTAGAGTTATATATCTGCAAATAGAGGAAATAATGCCACAAAACTGAAAAGTCCAATATCTTTAAAAAAAACATAGCTTTTGCTCCAGGAAATACCATAGGCACTTTTCCTAATTATATTGGGTGATTAATAGGTTTTTATTTGCCCTGCAGCACTGTTTGTTTGTCTTTAATGGACAGAAGGCTCACTTTTTGCTCCAGCACAATCACAGAAATAGACTAGATGGCAGATTTACCGCTAAGTGGTCCCTCCCTTCTAAATTACTGCAGGAGAATTGTTTGTGCCAGTGGAGGATGTAATAGCTTTCCCATAATATGTAAACTGATGCAAATGGTACAATAGAAACACAAAATTGTTATTGTGGCATTTTTATAGCGGCAGCAGCTGAAGAGTCGATGCTAATGTCAGAGGATACATTGTGAGCAGGTACACCGCAGACGCCTCTATTGTTCAGATCACTACAGAGATGTTATCAGGCTCTTAGTGGGCGTCTGTGTGCTGCAGTTCTCCTGTGTTATAAAACTGTGCGCCAGCAGCACTGAAAAAAAAGATTTTATTTTTTTTTTCTAAGTGATACAAGTTGCCATGGAGATAGTGAGCCCCACTACCCGCTGCTTGCTTTCTTTCTCTCCCAGCCAGTCTCCCACAGAGACTAGCTCCTCTGTGTATAAACCGCCAGCTGTTTCAGACATAAATAATAGAACGCAGAGAGCTGTGAGCTAAGCCTCAGGCATCAATAATGGATATGAGAGCTGGAGGGATAGTGCTGCAGAGTGACAGTGCTGTCACAGGGCCTTTCTTTTCACACTCTTCACTGCTCAATTTCTCAATGTGTATGCGATTTAAGCGAACTGTTCCTGCGCCTGTGATTTACTGATGTGAGTGCTGAATCTGGGATGTGGAGCTATGCAGTGCAGTCAGCATGAGAAGTGGGTCAGACCCACTATATGCTCGATATACCGCAGCACGGGCGTTTGCTCGTCTGTGCAAGTCAAATCACTCCAGTTGCCCCCCAAACTCTATTTTTGTGAGTATGTGTGTTTGTCTTGTTTAAGAAGAATCTACAGCTTCCCTATTGAGGCTGCCTAGTGTTGCCTGGCAACCAATCTGGCCTTAACCAAGACACACATAAAACATTGAATCCACACACGCGCGCGCGCATACACTCAGGTGGATCGGGAACAATAAGTTGTATTGCAGCACGTTGCATCAGAGGAGGGGCAGTGAGAGATGTCTTACAAAGGTGCAACGGGTCCGAGCAATTTGCCGGTTTCTCGCACACGCCTCAAGTTTGCGTGTGTCTCTCAGTGGATCTGCCTAAGTTACCCCATGGGTTTGCTCCTGCCGTCAGTGCTTTGTGCAGTAAGAATATGTTATGTGCTTCCTCCTGACGTCCACACTGTGTCGAGGCTTTTTTCGTGGGGTTTTTTTGCGTGTTGAAAAGTGGAAGGGATTAATAATGCATGACAGCTGAGCACCAGCGAGGAGAAGAGAGGGAGAGCTTGTGTGAGTGTTTATGCTAGAGGCTGCGCTGAGTCACAGAGCTCGAGTTTGGTTTTGATGTTCCCTGTCTGTCGGTGGATGTGTGTTTGCGCGCATTCATGTGTTTGTGTGTACCTGTGTTTGATGGGAAGACTGATGGAAGAAACTCGAGGCTTGGAGCTCTGCCCAATTGGCTACAGGAATCAGCTGACCCAGGCACTTCCACGTCTCATGCCTCGCTCGCTCCTCTCCTCTCCTCTTTCTCCGTCTGCTTTTTTTTTTTCTCTCTGCCTGCATCGCTATCTATACATCTTTCACATCTTCGTCTCCATCTTGCCTTTCTTCTACTTGTTATCGATCTTCTGGTGATACTTTCTCCCTCTTCCCTCGGTTATTTTCGCTTTCCCTTTGCTCTTTCTCTCCCTTCATATCTTTCCATATTTACTCGTCACCCCCCCCCTCCTCCTCTTCTCCCTCCCCCCTCCCTCCCTGTCTGTGGTTGAGCTCCAGTGATAGGCTGTTAATGCAGGCGGTGTATGAGTCTATCTCACCATCTGCAGTAGTGGAGCTAGCTCCTCTCCTCTCTCGTCAGGATCTCTTCATCAGCCTGCCAACTTCAGCCTGATCTGGTGTATGCTCGCGTGTCTGTGTAGATGTGTTTAAATAGAACTAGACCAATGGAGCATGTTTGGCTGTCATAGAGTTTGTGTGAGTACATGTGTGTGTGATTTCCAGTTGTGAAAGTAGCAGACAAGCTGTTGAATCTTCTGCAAGAGAGTGTGAGGACTGAGTGCAGCTACTATGTGTGAACTAGGCAGTCAGGGAGGCATGGATGGTCGTTGGCACTGTTCGGCGGCTCAGGTAGAGATTTTACTCTTTAAGCATGCAGATATTCTTCTTGTCACGCTCGCTTTGTCCACCTGTATCTATTTTTTCCTCCCTATCAGTGTTCATCTGTGTCCATTATTATGTCAGCATGCTCTATTGATAGACCGTGAAAAGATGGGAACAAAGAAGGAGGGTGAGGCAGAGGGGCGGAGGATCCTCGGGCATACACTTGCTTTGGCAGATTTTCTCTGAACTTCTGTGGGTAATCAATGTGATTTAAGTTGTGTTTGGCATGTCCCCATTTTTCTCTTGTGTTCACTGCCTCCCATGCGATAAGTGGATCAATACTCCAATTGACACCCTCCCTTTGAATGGGGTGGTCAGCTGACAAGGTGATGTCACAGATCAGAGGAGGGACATTGTAAAAATGTGCTCCTCGGCTTTTGTTTTAGCTGAAGTCAGGATTCAAATCAGGTGTCTGCGGAGGGCACATAGGTGTCCTTGAATCAATCATCAAGCACCGTGGCTCAAAATTGATCGCCGACAGGTGTCAGGGGTGGTGTGTTTCCTGCGGCCTGATTGGTTCATGTGCTATTTCCTGGCAAAGGCACAGAGGGTTTATTGACTGGCTGAATTCCAGAGGCTAAGCTCGCCCTAGCAGCATTTGACAGTCCAGTGGGCAGAACTGATTGGAAAGGCAGCTGAGGAAAGAGTGCGAGTCAAGCATCAGTAACCTAATGTAACTTTTAGGCCAATCTGGACTACAGCAGACTTGTAAGGACTAACAACATACAAGGCCAGTGCAGGCTTTTTCAGAGGTTTCACATCTCCGCTACTCACACCAACTGTGCTCCTACAGGAAGAAGAGACTGCGAGGTTTAATGGCAGTTTAATGAGTTTCCGTTTGCTATTCTTGTCCTAACTTAGACATCTCAGCGCTTTGATTTGGTTTAGATTTCTCCTCCACTTTAGTTTCCACCTCTGTTGCTCTTCTCTCTTTTTTAGCTCCGCTGCTCTCTCGCCTCTCTTTTATTCCGTGGGTTACTAACATCCACTGCAATGCATCACAATCCAATTTTAATTTAATGCTGGCACTGAGCACCCAGTGTGGTTAAAGCACACACACGCATGCACACACACGCTCACACATTTAATATCTCTCATGCCGAAGCGTCAAGGCGGGCGATGTTTAACAGTAGTTCATGAATATGCGGAGCACATTAGCACCGTGTTAAGTAAAGACCGCAGCACTTTGAAGTGCTCCTCCTCCTCTCCTGTCTTCTTCTCTCTTTCTTTCTCCCCAATAGCCTCCACCTGAAATTCCTTTTATCCATCCATCTATCTTTAACTCCCTCCCTCTTTTCTCTCCTTTCTCCTCGCACTCTGGCTGGAACTGCAAATCAACGCACAGGTCCCCGCTGAGGGTGCACACTCCCTTTTTTTTCCTCTTTTTTTATTCCCCATCATTTCTAACAGCCTGAACTTAGAGTTGCCATGGCAACAAGAGGAGCAGGGACTGAGAGGAAAAAGGGCGCCTTTTCCATTGAGAGGGAGCAAGGCATGGAAAAAGATCGGTCGTTGAGTGTATTAGTGGATTGGTGTAGGTTAGAGGTGGGCTATAAGTAGAAAATCAACATGGTGCTCGTGGAGAGGTTTTGAATAAAAGAGATTTAAATAAACTATCAAACGCTTAACAGATATCTAATGAAGGCTGGTTTTATTTTTGTCCTCAGCCTCACGTATGAGCATTTGCCAGTATCAGATGGAGATGGCAGAATGCAGATAGAAAGGCCAGAAGAGAACAAAGGATGGGGAGGGTTGAGACAGTACTAGATAATAACTAAGCAGTCTCCTTGTGGTTTTAAAGGGATTCAGTGTTTCTCTTCTCCTTCTTCTTTCTTCTTCTCTCCTTGGCACTCAGGTTTTGGCCGCCTGCTATTGCTGGGGGCTGTAACAGGCAGAAGTGTTTATGGTCAACTGAAAACGGGTGGGCGAAAGATTGGTGCTGTGTGCTCACACATACAGGAAATAAACAGAAGGGGTGTGGGGAACTTATGGTTTCCTTCTTAGAAATGATGACGATCATGAGTTTGTATGTATATGAGTGTGTGTGTGTGTGTGTGTGTGTGTGTGTGTGTGTGTGTGTGTGTGGACACGCTTGCCAATTTTTCTCCATCTTCTCTTCTCAGTCGACAGACGACCTGCTGGTGGCATCAGCTGAGTGCCCAAGCGATGATGAAGACATTGACCCGTGTGACCCCAGTTCAGGTGAGAAACATTAACTAATATACATGTGAAACTGCCTTTACGCAGCTTTTATGTCACTCATGGGCAAAATACATCCCAATAAGTTAAAAAAAAAAGATTAGTTATCAATATACATGCTCAGTATGTGGCCCTTGGAGAGAAAAAAAACAATGCTTCCTACCTGTTTTACATCCTCCACTCGCACTGCTACCCATTTTTATGCTCTCCAGTTAATTTTTTATTTGCGCTCAGGTTTCCACCCTCGGGCATTACCTAACACTCTCCATCTCTTCCTATCTTCCTATCTGTATCCTGCTCTTTGTCATTAAAATTTCATTTTTATATATCCCATTTTATTTACCTCCTCCCTCCTTCACCTTTTTCTTTTCCATCCCCTTATCTCTGGACAGCCATAAAATTTGATATTTAAATTCTTCATTATAAATCATTTAATATGGTGTGAAATCTCACCGTACTGCAGCTCTCTCTGGCTGTTGTAAAGTGTCAGAAGTATGTAATAAAACCTGATATAACGTGCACCTGTGCTCTGGATCCTCCTCTAAGCTATGTGTACTGTAATCTGTTTACGCATTATGTGATGATATGTAAACAGCTTTGGCTCTAAGCTGTAGCTTTCCCTTACCAGCGTGTAGCATTATGCAAAACGCTTGTCAAATAATTCATCACCATGATGCATTGTGTCTTCCAGTTCTCCTCCCACCATCATCGCAGGCAATCCAAATTAATAATGTATAAACTAAACCATCATATAACATCAATTTCCTCCTCTCTCCCCTCACAGCCCGCCCTCCCCTGCCAGAGGTGAAGATGTTCCCGGGTCCGTCTGAGGTGGTGCGGGAGAGCAGCAGCACTACGGGCATGGTGGTGGGCATTGTAGCAGCTGCTGCCCTCTGCATCCTCATCCTTCTCTACGCCATGTACAAGTATCGCAACCGCGACGAAGGCTCCTACCACGTGGACGAGAGCCGCAACTACATCAGCAACTCAGCCACACAGCCCAACGGCAGCGCTAAGGACAAGCCGCTGGGCATCGCCAAGATCTCTAAAAACAAGAAGAACAAAGACAAGGAGTACTATGTCTGAGGCGGATGACTTCTTAAACACAGACATATACGCATACACCTTTATATATATAACGGTATATGTACATAAATAGATATATTCTCAAAAAGAAAAAAACACACACAAACACACATGACATAGACATGCTGATCTTAATGTTTACTCCCCAATAATCACACCTGCACACATGCTGGCAAGCACAAACATGCACACAAACGAGCCCAGGCACACACACACTCAAGCACAAACATACACACACAGACTGGCCTGAGGGCATGAGCCCTTACTGTACAGTATTTACCAATGAGCAGAGCCTCTGCGAGAGGCTTCTTTTATGAACATTAACACCATTCCAAATGATTTAGAAAGCACCAGTTCAACTCCCAGTTAAGAACCATTTTGGGTCAGCCTGATAAGAAAAAAAAAAGAGACTCCCCTGCCACAGTTGGACCTCTTCAGTTGGACTAAGAGAGGTCAAGGAAGACTTTAAGTGAAGCACATGGCAGACAGCGTGTTTGCGTGAGAGGCAGAGCACCAGAACAAAGATGTAAAAGCACCAAGACAAGCACCAAGTGTCTCTCTTCCAAGCTTCTTGGCCTTTCTCCCTGCTAGCAGATGGGGCTAGAAGAAGCAATGAGGATGCTGAGGAAACAAGCACACCAATGGTCCAAGTCTACCCCCAGACAGCACGGCAGGAATTCAGGGTGTAGCCAAAGAGAGACAGTGAGTTGCGAGTGGATAGGCAGCGGCAGGGCTGGTGCACCATTAATATAACGGATGGGCTGTGGTTGTTACGCTGCAGCGCTGCTGTTTTATGGCACCCTGAAAATCACAAAACAGTGTAATCAGTGAAAAACTGAAAGATGTTTTCCTGGACAGGAGACTTCAGATGCTACCTACAGGCACCAGTCTTGCACTGTGGTGTCTTGCACACACACACATACGTACATAGACTACATACAAACACACACATGGTAAAATTAAAAAGGATCTACACATGCAGACATACACTTACCTGCAATGCTAAAAGCGCAGCATATCTTCATAACTGACACTGAAGACTATACAAGAAGACATTGGTGAAAAAGACAACGCTCATAATGATAACTGTTATGGCAACGATAATGATGAATATGAGGAACATTTGGGCAGTATAGACTCTGGGGAAGGGAGGGGGGGGGATCTTATTGCACGTGAATTATCTTACTCCGTGTGATTTATACCGCGTTGAAACTCCAGAGGTTACATCGTGACGCACCACCATCATAAACTCACCACCTCGGCTTGAAGTATTTCTGAGTACGCACTTCAAATGGTTTTTCAGTCTGTGGGATACAACAATGATTTCAGTCGCCAAATCGACTCTCAGATCAAATCTTCATCGGCAAAGCGTGACCATCTCGAGTGTGCTGCATGCCCGAGCTGTGCTGTGGAGTGGTGGCGTGTCCCACTAAGTCCAAAGGTGGTAGGTTTGTCTGCAGGTGGGAAAGGAGGAGGGGGATGTCGTGGGTTGCCGTCGGACACGTGCGCCCCACGACAGGCCACGTCCTGTTTCCTAGCCTGATGTCTTACAGGTCACGCCCACTATACCTACGCTAACCAACCACCTTTTATAGCAAAAACCAGCTGAGGAAAAGAAAAACATAACAAAGTAAATGTTACCATGTGTTGCTAATAGATAGAAAAGTCCAGTTCTTGATGCCATTGGCTATACGACAACTTGAGTTGCTTTGATTTCATTGGCTCTCCCTTTTCTCTCTTTCTCTTTGCGTCCTCATGTATTCATTGCTGTTGGTTGACAGATGAATCAATACTCGTGACATGTCCCAATACGGGACAGACGGATGGGTTTCCCATGGGCAATGGCGAATTATCTGTTTATGGACTTTTGCAGTGTCTGAGCCCTCTGCAGCTCAATAAGTGTAGCCCCACAAGATACAAACAGTGCCATGACATGAACAAGCCCCTACAGTTCTTCCAAGCAATGTAACTAACCAGTCGGATGCATGCAAAACAGACCAGGGCAAGGAAGGACATGAAACAGACTGTGTGTGAGATTTCAAAGTATAAATGTCAAAATTAACTTAACATCTCCCCTTATTCTCGCCATCCTTAACTGGCCTTTTTGACCTGCCTCTTTCGTGTTTCCCTCTCGTTTACTACGTCTCCCACTCCTCCATGTCTGTTGCTTTCCTTTACCTCTATCTCTGTTGTGTTGCCATCTGAAAACATAGGAGGCGTCTCAACAAGTGGGATTATTCTACATCTAGGTGTTCATTAACCATGTTTATTTTCTATATGTACAATTTTTCTACAGTATTTACTTTTATTTTTATTGTTACGGTTCTTTGATGAACATAAAGTGGAAATTTATTATGAAAAATAGTTTTGAAGATTAATGAGTAAATAAAATATTACCCAAGTGAGCTTTTTGCGTGTTTGTTTTTCACTTCCCATCTGCCTGCGGACATCATTAAAGCGCCTATTATCGCACCCCCCTCAGCTATGATGATATCGGATGACTGTCTAATTAACACAAGTCAAAAGGTAGCAGGGAATCAGAGGGCAGATCTTAGAGGAATAGTTCCCAATAAAAAGAAGATTGATGTCAGGCATGTCTTTTAGTTCCAGCAAACCTTATTTAATGGACATGAGAGACTGTCATCAGTCATCAGTCTCTCATGTAACAAGTACAGAAATTAAGGGCATTTCTGTAAATTCAGAGACCATAAGTTGCACATCTATCCACATTCTGTTTTATCCTTTCAACTTTTGTTTCATCAAATTAAGAAAAGAAAGCAGCTCTTCCTTTCTAGGTCCCACACCATTTTACTGGGATGGCAAATGCACAAATATACCCCACTGCACATACTAAACAGGGCTTTGAAGTACAACTCTGTGCTGTAAACGCAAAGTCTCTGCAGAGTTGCTGTTTGCCGGATGAAAGATCCCTGAGACTGCAGAGCTGAACTTGCATCCTCAGGTGAAACATACAAAGAGCTGCTATTTCAATAAACACCTCCCCAGTTGCATTATCTTGTTCTCTCACTGTTTGTCTTGCTTTCTTTTTGTCTTTGCAGAACAGTCTGTGCTCAACAAAAGGCTTGTGTTAGGTTGTAGCCATCTGCTGCTTTGCTGTCCTTGGCCACAGACAGCTAGGACAAAGATAAAGACAGAGCCCTGCAATATTTATGGAGTGAATACAAAATAACGCTGTTTCTCAACAGTGTACAATAATCTGATTGTACAACACACAATCAGATTATTAGTATTAGCATCAGATAATCTGAATTCTTTAAACAGGTTGTGTCACTGAGATTGAGATCTGTTTTTCAAGTAAGATGACACACAGATAGATTGTACATGTTCAGAAATGCAAAAAAGCATGTGCAGAGTGATTGGAGATTCATAAATATAACCTTTTAACAAATGTTGCAGTGAAACAGGAAAATGTAGCTTTGCATTGTTTGTAGCTTATTATTATGACAATGTTTGAATCCAGTTTATTTTTTCAGCTTCAGTGTGAATAAGAAGCACAGTTAATGACAAGTATTACATTTAAGCAAAAAAAAAAACCAAAAAAAAAACAGGCAATCTTGCAGTAGTGCAACCCTGTAAGTAAAAGTAAAAACAATACAGTGTAAAAAAATTACTCACTACTTCACTAGGAAAAAGTTGCATTTATTTATTTAAGGTTACATTTTATTTATGTGACTCCAGCTAAATATTTTTGATGTTTATTGTTTTTGCTGAATATTTTTCTAAATGTGCGAATCTAGGGACGTGTTATATGGAAAAAATAAAAACATGAGAAATGAGTATATGATTGTATATACTCGAGTATATAATTATGTGCCATTTAAGTCTTATTTGCAAAAAAGGATCAGAAGTTTGCTTCCTTAACACATTTTTTTAATAAAATGTCTGTGTTTGTATGTTTGAAGTAAGTTGTACCTATACAGTATTGTGTATTTAAGTATTTTCACCTCTCGTTTCTTTATATTTTTTCCAAGAGCCAGACTTTCTTGTATTTTGAAGTGGTCTGTTCAAGTTCTTCTGGTTTTCCGTGGGTATTTTTTTGAGTAACAATCTTTGAGCATCAGTATGATGGAATATGATGACAGGTTTAATAACAAAGCTGCAACAATCTGGACACTTTTCATTAGTATTCACTTGAACTTGTACACACTGCTACGGTACTGTGTTGGACCCCTTCAGGAACTTCATTCTTCTAAAAAAGTGTTGGAAACATTGACATGATGACTGCACATTTGTCGGCTGCACATCCATGATATCCGTGACATCCCAAAGATGCTCTTCCGAATTGAGATTGGTTACTGTGGAGGCCATTGTCATGTCCAAGAAACTGGCTTAAGATGATTTAAGCTTTGTGACTTGGTCTTTCATCCTCCTGGAAGAAGTCATCAGAAAGTTCACTGTAGCATAGATATGATAGCAACAATACTTAGACAGACTGTGGCACTTAAATGATGCTCAGTTGATACAAAGTGCAAAGAAAACCCCCACAGCATTACATCACCGCCATCAAGGGAGCATAAATCTAGGCTTTTATGTTGTTTACACCAAATTCTGACCCTAGTGTCTTAATATTGCTGAAGAGATTGAGATTAATCAGTTTTTCAGTCTTATATAGTTGAATTTTGATTTGATTTGATATACCTTTATTAGTCCCACAAGGGGAAATTTCATTTCATAAGGCTGCCGACCTATTGCACGCAATGGCGGCGCCATCTTACCCTCCGACCATACATACATTACACAAAACATCACATGGGGAAGACAGGTCAGAGAGGTATAACAATGGAAAATGCACCACATGAGGAAAGATAAGGAGAAAAAAATAACTCCCCCCAGACTGAGCTCCAACAGGGAGATCAGTTTGAGAACAGAAAAAAACACCTCTGCACATGAAAAAACTCTTAATACACCAAAGAAACACATGACAAGCAACAGGGGTGGGTAAAGGGTGAGAGACAGCCAATTTAGACAGTACATCCGGGCCTGCAGCCTGTGCGCTGGTCTCCTTGATCCACCGTCAGCATCGGAAGGGAATAAGCGTCGAAGGCGTTTGGAAAGGGAGGGGGGATGAGTGTGTATATGTATGTGTGCGTGTCCAGAGTTTAGCTGAGACAGTGTCCTTCGCCCTGCTAGGCTAAGTAAACAGTCTTTCAGCCAACCCAGGTGGTCTTGCATGGAATGGGAAGGAACAGTCTAAACACAGTCGTTATCAGGGTGTTTTTGTTCGGCTCCAGCCTTGCGACCGCAGCTGGCGCCGAGAGGGTATCCGCATGAAGTGATGGTGCTTTTTACTTTAGTGCGAACAACTCATATGAATTTCAAAGCTGTTCTAACAGTCCAACACTGGTCTCTCAATCTCCCGTTGGAGAGCCGTGAGCTTTCTATGATGTTATCCAAACTTACGTTCCGTGATGTTGTCATTCTTTTTGCTCAAAGAGCAGGTTCTGAGAACTCACGACCGCAGTGCACTTCCCCAAGATGTGATCGAATTTGCGCTCAAAGGTGTTATTCGAGCTAGCCCCTCCAGATGTAATCCAGTTTTTCACTCAGAGGTCTTGTTCTGAGTATTCACGGCAGCCGTGCGTTCTCCAAGATCTTCTCCGTGCTGCACTCAATGAGCCCATTTTGAGAAACTCACGCCTCGTCCCATCATTTCAATCCCAGCGGGCAGCCTTGTGGGGGTTTGAACAGCCGGTTCCGCTTCCTTAATTCTTCGATAAGCCAGGGCCAAGCCAGCTCCGATCAGCAAGAACCCTGTTATCATGGTTCCGAATAGGTAGATATCTTCAGCAGTCAGGCTCAGCCGAGCCCAGACTTCTCGTTGAGATGGGGTGTCAATTGCATTCAGAGACCAGTTGATCAAATCCATAATTCTCTTTTAGGTTTTAGAGAACAGACTGTGAGAGACTGTTCCAGGGAAAAGTAATACAGCAGGGAAGCTAAGGGAGAGGAGGAGGAGGAGAGGGTGACCCTGATGACCCTGTAAAAATTTTAGCCTCAGTTTTTAGTTCTAGTTTTGACATTCTGTGCATTCAGAGGTGCTCTTCTGCATACCTTGGGTTTAACAAGTGGTTGTTTGAGATACTGCTGTCCTCCTATCAGCTAAGACCATTATCCTGAGGCCTTTAACTCAGAAAACTGCTGCTCACTGGATATTTTCTCTTTTGAACCATTCTCTGTAAACTCTACAGAGGTTGTGTGGGGAAAATCCAAGTAGATCAGAAATACTCAGACCAGCTTGTTTGGCACCAACAACCACGTTACGTTCAAAAACAAACTTTCTTTGCAATTCTGGTGCTCTGTTTGAACTACAGGAGGTCATCTTCACCAATCACATACATCTATACATATAAAAAATGCTTAAAAAGTGCAATTTGTGTTAGATTTCATGGTTCATGTAACCATGTAGGACAAAAACTAGCGACAGCATATGAAAGGGAACCCTTAGAGATGCACGGTGTGCAATACACTGGAATTGCAAGGATGTTGAAAAAAATCTTCAGGATATAAAAGTGTTTCATCAATATGACTATATTACAAAATGATTTTGACAGAGAAAGAATCCCAGTTAGAAGATTGGCCTGGTATGAAAATGTAAAAAGAAGGGAAAAAAAGAAAAAAATATATTTTTAAAGAAATCTTTCACAGTTACAGTTGTTGTACAAAGAAAACCATCTGATTCTGAGGGTGTCTGGTGGGAGGCACTGATTGATTTTTCAGACACATACACTGTTAAGAAAGGCTCTTTTCTAAAGCTGTTTGTTCAGCATCATCATTAGTCTACCTTTTCATTTTGGCTTCTCACAGTCACAATCAAAAGAGGACATCGACACAATTACAGTGGCTTGCTGTCCCACTGAATCTGTAGCAGACCACAGAAATGAGATTGCCTAAATGGAGTGCAAAATATGTGTCTCAAAAAAAGAATTTTTAATTGAAAACACACACAAGAAAAAGAGCAGGAACTCCCTAATATTTTCCACCTCCCTTACAAAGGTGTCGAGCAATCAGCAGCAGATTGATCCACAAATTCAGCTGGAGCGCACACATGCACACAGGTGCTGTACAGCTTCTCCCTGCTTAGTCCTTCATCTCTACTCCCTCCAGCTGTGCTTGTTAGACTCTGCCTATCCTTTCTTTTTCCTTCTCTTTCCTTTTTTTGCCTTGTGTATAAGCAAGCCACTGTGGGAGAGTGTATCCTTGTGTGTGACAGAGTGTGCGTGGTCGTGTCAGGAGCTCAAGGCTGCATTTTTCTTCCTGCTTTGGAATAAATTACAAGGAGCTCTTTTCCTCGACCACATCAAATTCCCACAGTCCACACAAGCACACACGCGCGCGCGCCTGTATGCACACACACACACACACACACACAAAAAATGTATAAATA